TTGGAACTCTATTTTTTTTTTTCTTTCACTACAACCATTATCAGTATCTCGAATTCAATCAACTAATCACACTCTTGTCACTTGTTGCAAAAATCCCAATTGAAATTTTAAATGTTCAAAAACCTTTTACTGTCAAAATCCTGAATTTTGGATTGCTGCCACTGCATTGAAGATACATGCAAACCACCTTATATTCTCTCATTATGCAGTATCTATCAAAAACTTAAAAAAACAAATATCCATGAAACAAGCCCTCATGCAGCATTTCTGAGCAACAGGAAAGCAAAAAATGGAAAAAAATATTTTTTTAAGTTTTTTTTTTTTTTTTTTTTTCAGCCATTGTAACACATGATCACATAGTTAAAATGGAAAATGATACATTTTCTGAAAGACAATGTGAACAAGAATGCAAAAAAGCTGAACTGAAATGAAACCATTGAAAGAAGTCATAAATATGTGGTCAAAAGGAAATTTTCCAATTAAAGAAAATCAAAGCACTAAAACAATGTGTACCATTTGGGAAGACTTTTCAACCAATAATTATTTGAACTTTTACACAAAAATATATAACTCGGATCACCTTCAGGATGGACCCTTACTGAATCTGGCTGAAATGACTCTTGTGTTTACAGTTTAAAGTATTAAGCCTGTTAAATATCTTAAATGTTACTTTTTTTTTTAAACACGCTTTAAACACAAATTCCACATTGTCAGTATCTAAACTACACACCACACACACACACACACACACGTGTGTGTGTGTGTGTGTGTATAGCGGCATATATGTATGGACATGTAGATGTATGTATGAAGATATGTGCGCATATAAATGTGTTGGACAGCATGATTATTCCACTGGGTATTATCCACAATCTATAACTCAACTAATTTACATTAATCTTAATGTGGTTAATTTTATTAATAGACATAAATAACAACACATTTACTACTTCATATAAAAAAAAAACAAAAACAGCAGCAAAAACTCTTGCACTCTTAACTATAAGAGTGAATGTCCTAATTACTACAAAATAGCACTTATACAGGATTTAATTAACCAAGCACAAAATAACTCCTCCACAACAAAACACTATACTTTTTAAAAAGATATTAAGCAGACTTTCATTAATGACTTCCCAAACAACATTATAGATGAACAGATAAGACATCAAAAATCTCAACACACGTCAAATAGAATATGGTACTTTCTCAAAGGACCCTAAGTATATCAAACTGCTATATTGCAACCAGATGCATGCTAACTACAAACAGGATGAAAAAAAATCATAAAATTCTCATTCTAATATATCTTCCATGAATCCTAATAAAAAAAAATAAAATACAACAAATTATTCGGAATAACTCCTCTCCATCAACTGATGTATTACATAAAACCAACATTACATATCAATTCAAATGTCCCTTGGGAGAATGTATCCAACAGAAAAACATGTATATGTCGGATTATCGACAACTACATTAACAAGACGATTTACACTACACATTGTCTGGCCATTCATCCATTGCAAGACAAAGAACAGTTTTACTCGCTTTACCATGACATTACAACACAAGAAAATATTCCATAGTGGATAATTTTTTCATATTCCAATGAACACTAAGCATGACTGTCAACTGTTGCATTTGAAAGCAAAAAAAAAATGGCAGTAATGGATATCAAAAAAAACAATTTTGTATTACTACTTGCACCCATGAACAACACAGTTTTGTATTACTACCTACATCCCTGAAGATGATCTTGGAAGAAGATTGAAATTATTTCAGAAATGGAAAATAAAAATGATTTTCATAGTTATAGCACATTTCTCACATCATTTAATTGCAATACACGGAATGATTATGAATGGACTTCATTAAAAATAAGCAGACGTAATGTCTGTAATTTATTTAATCAGACATATATATATGTGTGTGTGTATATATATATATATATATATATATATATACTAGCTTAAAAATCACCCTATCAAAGTGCAATTTAATTGGACCTTCATAAAAAATTTTTTGGGAGTAGATGTGATAGACAACAAAAACCAAAGAATTCAAATTGGACACTGTTTTAAATTGCATTTAATTGAACCCTTTTAAAACTTCATGATAATTGACCCTAACAAATTTTTTAAAGACAATTTGAAAATTACAATTTTTATATGGTCCTTATTTTCCATACAAATAATTATTTTTTTTCATGGGTAATTTTCACTGGACTTCTAGAATTTGATTATTTCCAAATTATGAAAATTATACAAAAAATTTGTTGCAAAAAATCATAATAATGAAAACCTGGAATATTTCAATTTTGGATCCTGCCTGGAATTTTTAATTTGTCCAAAATTCCAAAAATAATAATATTTGGGCCTCAAGGGTAAATTTAGAAACACTGACAATTTTATTTTGAAACACTTAAGTTTTACATCTGAACATAATTTATTGAAAGTTAGAGAGTTGTGTCCCTTTAATTGTTTTTATCAGCAAAGATGGTGGAAGCTGAAAATAATCGCAGTAATGAATATTTGGGAATTCAAAATTTCAGTAGTGCATGTCTGGATCTGGCCCGGAATGTTTTTACTTTGCTCATGGAGTTGGCCTGATTCCAAAATGGCATAATGTGTTGGGTTACAGCCTCTGAGAATAAAGTTGAAAAAATGCAACACACTGACATCACTTTTTGAGTGAGTTTTATATTATAAATCCGTTGGTATAATCCAGGTGAGTCCTATTAACACAACATCAAATTTGAAATATGTTAAAACTGACTCACAAAAGCGTGCTCAATGTTTATTTTCATTAAACAGAGCAAATTTTCTTTACCATTAGAATTAAGATACCTTTAGTAAATGACCATTTTCAAGTGAATTTGGATATACATATATATCCAAATCCTTAAAAACACTCCCCCAAACTCTGATATATGGACAAGTTTAATACCAATAATTTCGAATTAACTCTCTTTCATTTTACCAAAATTACCTCTTGATTATTTTTTTCACATTTTCATTAATTTCCATAAATTCCCGTCGAATTAAATTTTGACTATGTGACCATTAGGATATAAGTCAGGTCATCGGTCTCCACATCCCTCCCCTACCCAGGCTCTCCTACCTCCATAATATGATTCCAGTAATGGTGCCTTCTTCTTCTCCCCATGCTGCCCAATAAGTCCCCATAACATACTCTCTCTCTCTCTTTCTTTCTTTCTCCCAATAAACAGTACACTACAAACTGATACCATAAACAGTTTGAAAAATCCTATAAATTTTAAAATTAAAATTTGTAGGTGAAAATGGTCATTTACTAAAGGTATCAATTTCAATTGTAAAGAAAAGTGTGTATGTAAATATATATATATATATATATTGGTAGTTGAAAGGTAAAAATGTAAACAATATCAATTATAATTATTTAAATTTCATGTAATCATATGCATACGTTTCTTTAATGTCAACCCTTGAGTAATACTTGTCACTAGATAATGAAAGCATTTAATTTTTTATTTATTTTGAAAAGTGATCATTAAAAAAGATAATCCCAATTTATTAGTTTTATTGTGTCTATTTCAAAGGAACCTTCAAAAGGAGACTACATTTTTTTTGTTTCTGGTTTTATTGAAAAGCAGGTAAATTGAAAGGAAAATAAATTAAAGTTTTAGGTGAAATTGAGACAATGTGATGAATACAGATTTCTAATATATTTTTTTTATCTTGTGAATTATTTTCTTTGATAATGTAAAATATTCTTTGATAATTGTAAAATATTCTTTAGGTGAAGTGCGAGTATTGATGCATTATCCACAGGAATTAAGTCAAGCTGAAAAGAAAAAATATTCCTTTTCTAAATTTTGAAACTCAATAGTTTGCAATGTCAATTAACTCTGTCTTAGGCAAAGGAAGATTGATTTTTTTTTTTGTCCATGCCCAATTTTCAGTTAATACTGCTCCTTTTGAGGTTAAGTTATTGATTTGAAACTGTACAGATGCTACTGTTGTGAAAAAACTTGATGAGTTATTCTAAAGATAATTGTGAATATAGTGAATACTTCTTTTGTTTCATAATGGCTGACAGGAAGATTTTTGTAATTTTAGGAAATTACATCTATTTTTTAGTCTTCCAACACACATACTTAATATTTCTAAATACATTCAACATGAATTCTTTGCATTGTAAATGAATTTATTACATTGAATCTTTGGTTTATGCACTTTTCAAACTCTCATGTTTGATGATGCCACTAGTTACAGATCAAAACAAACAATTTAAGTCATTATTTGGAGCTCTATGGTCTATGACCCCCATCTCCCAGTTCCCTGCACTTTTTGCAACTCCAAAACCTGGGAGAGGGTTAAAATGAACAATCTGTTGAATAACTTAGCATTATCTTTGTGTGTGTGTGTATTTTAAGGCTACAATTTAAAGGATTGAGTTGAAATGTAAATATTGAGCTTTTGCCTTCAGATATTGAGTAAAAATTACATTCTTTTTTATTAAAAATTTCTTTTATACAATTCTGGTTTAAGAACATCTTAAAGTAATTTTGTAACTTTTAGGTTGGAGTATTTTTTTTTTTCTGAGAAAAATACTTTGAATCGAGTGGTAACATTTTGGTTTTGGCTGATTCTATTTGATTAAAAGTAATTTTTATAATTACCAAATAATTTGAAGGAAAACCAAAAAAAATTATTTAAATGTATTCAGTAAATCATCAAGAAAAAAACAAGATTTGTATAAATAGTTCATTGATGAAAGCCATAAATGACTTCTGTATTTTATTTTGGTTTGAAGAACATAAGGCACTGAAGAATCATAAAACTTCTGCCAATTGCAATACATTGACATGAAAAGTTCAAAGAAATAAGAAAAAGACAAAAAGAAACATCAACCCAAATACATAACATGAATGCTTCGTAGCTGCACTTTCTTTTGGTGTAGTAGAGGTTTGCTTAAAATTTGATTCTTTCAAAGTAAATTCCACAGGATAATGGTCACTTATTTTCAGGGCCTGTATGAAGAAAGAAACAAAAAAAAACAGTTTATTATATACTGGCTAGAACTTAATAAATCAACTGGGATGATCTTTCAGGGAATATATAGTTTTAGTTGAAAGCTAAGTAAAATACTTTGATTAAATAGTAATGCTATGAATTTATATGAATACTAGTTAAAGCATTGTGGCAGATTTCACCACATTAATTTAACTTAGATTAGGAAAGCAAACTGAAGGGAAGAAAAAGAGGATAAGCAAAGACATCATCACACATAAACAAGATGTACAAACAAGGATGTGAAAGAAAGGCATGCATTGAGTAAAACAAGAGTTGTCTCACTTTAATTATTAATTCTTCCAAAGTTCACTGAAAGAAATAAGGTGGCAATAATTTCTGGTAATAAATGTTTTCAACAATTTTGCTGTGTAAGAAAAAAGATTGTGAATATAGGGAATATTCAGCATGTGAGTGGTGGTGTGAGTGAGAAGATTGGCACATGGTTTCAATTGTCGTGGATTCATGTGGTAGCTGAAATCTCTCTACTTAACTAAGAATATTCTTTGCATTAGGTGATCATCAGCTCCGAAAGACTGCGTGGGAAGAATCATTCTTCACGTGCAGACAATCTGATTGGTTGGCATTGACCAATCAGCAAGCGAGCTTTGGGGGAGACTCACGAAAACTTCTGGGATTTGATTCTCCCAAAAGTGCACAAAATCGACTACATGAATATATAGCAATTATAAAATTGTCACATAGCTGCGATTTTTAAATTGTCGCATTACACAGTAGTGTTGATTTATTATCCAATGAATGCTTGTTGTTGTATAATTTGAATTTGCGTAAGTATGTGTGTGTGTGATGATGATGATCATTACAATACTCCCCCCCTCCACCGAGATTAAAGAAATTATAACAAAATTCTTTAATATGTAACATAGGAGCAATACTTAGAAGGCCAATGCACCCTCCTACCTATTTTGGTAAACAGTGGTTCTGATTGTGATGTGGACTGCTGACTTTGGTTTGACGATGGTGATGATAATAATGGTTGCTGCGAAATGTTGGATTGCTGTCGATCCGGATAGAGTTGTTTGGCGGCTTGCTCAAGATATGCTGGCTTCAAACAGTCGACAGAAATGGTCGACTGACCGTTGTATGCCTGAATGGTAAAATACTTTGGTTGTCGTGAAATTACTTTAAAAGGTCCTGAGTAATTAGGGTTAGCGGTTTTTTACTGTGTCTTGTCTAACGAAACGTGGTACTTGATCTTATAAAAAGATTGGGAAAATAAATCTCCTTAGGGGTGTACTCGTGTAGGAGCGAATGATAGTTCAGCCATTCTGTTTTGAAGGTACTGTATAAGGTGAAATTGGTTCTATAGAAGTGTTTCTGTCTAGAAATTGACCTGGTAACGTAAGCGATGTACCAAAAACAAGATCTTCTTGGGCAGTGTCAGAACTTGTTAATGCAGCCTTAAGTTGATGATGGAACTTCTTGACAAGGCCATTTGCACAAGGGTGATATGCAGTTGTCCGAGATGTGAATAGCTCAAACAAGTTCTAAATTCATGAATAAAAAGTTGACTGGAGCTGTGGACCCACGGCCTGTCGTTATGACCGAAGGGCAGCTGAAAATGGAAATCCATTCCTCACAATATTGCGCCTAAAACAGATTCTCCCATGGTGGACTGAAGAGGTATACACATTGGTGGCCAGTCTGATGAATCTATCGGATTATCATAAGATGTAAAATTAGATTTCAGATAATGGACCAACAAAACCTCATGAAGATGCTGAAAGCGGCCATCAGGTTCTATAAAAAGTCCTGGGGTGATTTAACATGTCGATGTATCTTAGTTCGCTGGCATCAGACACAAGTCTGAGTCTGGCGTTTAAATATCAGAACTCATTCTAGGCCATACAGAAACGTTCACCGACATTAACTGTTGTAATCCACTGTTTCAGGATGCAATCGTGAATGGGAAGTGGTCAAATATCTTCTCATGGAAGAAGGAACCAAAAGGTCGAGGGTGACCTGTACTGGTGTCACATAATAAATTCACCTACTGCTGAATGGCATGGGACACAGCTCAATCCGTAATGATGTATCTGCCTTTAGGTCTGATGAGGGTCGTCCTTTGTTGTTCAACCAACCAACCAGTGTTTCAAAATTCAATAATTGTTTTTCTATTTGTGTTGATACTTTTTAGCACGTGAGTTCAAATATCACTAACAGTATTATGATTCCCTTGTATGTATTGAATATCCGTCGTGAATTGAAAATATACTCAACTGTCGGTAATCACGAATATTTGTCGCTCTTAGCATGTAAAGCGTAAATAAGAAAGTTTTTTGATCCGTAAAAATGATGAAATTGCATCCTTCAAAAGATAACAAAAGTGTTTAATGGCTGTATAAATAGGTAATAGCTTACGGAAAAAGTGCTGTATTTTTTTGGGGAATATGTTTCACAGTTTAAAAATGGTTTAAATTATTACCTCCTTAATACTTAATCGCTGATGTAATAATACAGTTCCGTGTTAGCTTCTGCAAAACGCCGGTCGTAAAATAAGTGTTTTATCATCTTCTTGAAGATAAGTAAATCAATGTATGTATGTGTGTGTGTGAACATGATGATAGTCATTACAGTATGGTGGTTACAGTCAGGTTTGGATCAAAGCAGTTGAGAATAACAGTAAAACAATTTCTTATTACTAATAGTATTTCTGTCTGTCAAATTATTAGAAATTAATTAAATTATTAGTATAAATAAAGCATACCTTTGTTTTTAAAGGAAACATTTTCTTTTGCCTTATTTGAAACTAAAGTCAATGAAATGACGTTTAAGTTAACTATGAAATATCTTTTACAATTTTTTGTCATCATTAAAGAAAAATTGGTTGTCCACATCAGTCAATCTATTAAAATTCAAAACAATTGTAAAAGAAAAACAAAAATTTGTTTCTACTAAGGTTCCTGAATTTATGTTTTACAAAATAAATTTTATGTATTTAGATCAGAAAATTCTTCAAAAAAAGGCTTTTTGAAATTTAAAACGTTTCATACGAAGTCCATATATAAATAATCTTTTCTTTGATCAAATCTGCATCTACTTTTAATTTGTTTGACAGGAAAACATCTTTAAAAATTGCATTGTATAAACTCATTGTTCTTCATTAACAAATACATTTTATCAAATTCAAAAACTTTTGCACTTTCTGGTATCACAATTTCGGATAATTGATGCCCTGTAATAATAAGTCTGAAAAAGAAAATTAATTTTGTTTTTGTATATTAAAGGGTAATTTTTAAAATCGGTCCAGGATTTTTTTCTCTAATCAATTTTTACAAAATATGTAAGTTATAAATACAATAAGTAAATGAATCATAAAAATATACAATTTGTCATTATAACTATTTGGATATTTTTAATTATGAAATATGAAACTTTTTTAAGCACATTTTTTTAGCTCTACTGTTTTAATTTAAAAATATCAATCTCAACAAAAAATCATTTTTTTCTTTGTTGTTGGCTTTGAAAATCATTCTTTTCTTCTGATCATTTTACCGTTCATAACAATTTAATATATATTGTATTAATGGTGAAGAGATTCATTGTTTTTCAATTTGATTTAATTTAAGAAAATTATGAAGGCAAAGAATTAGATAAAACAAATTTTGATATTATGATGCATGAGCAGCATCAATCTTCTGTCTGTCAACACTATATATTTATATATTTAATCATAATTAAAAGATTGTTCCGACATTTATATAGTGAAAACAATGAGACTTTTTTATTGAATTACAATAACTTTACTAAAAAAATACTAATGAAGGACTGCTATGTTTATAAAAATGTACATTTTGAAAAAAAAAATTGATAACAAATTTATTTCCTAAAAACACACATCCCAATATCTCTTAACTGACCTTAAAATTTTATTAACTTTTAAATTAGATTTCTATATTCTCTGTTTAAAAAAATTTTTAAAAGTCAAAAAACAGCTAAGTGTTAATCATATTTAAATGTTGAACCCAGGAAAACAGCTATAAAGTTCAAAACAAACTTCAATGCTTTCTGCCTATATCCATACCAGTTGAACTTGGGATTCAGGACAGTTCAACACAGAAAAAAATAAATGTTCTCAAAATATGAATGATCAAGAAAATCATAAATATGAAACATTGATACAACAGGCTGGATTTTTTTAATCAACTTGTCATAAAAGAAGGATGAAACCCGATAGTACCTCAACTAAAAAAATTAATTTGTTTGGAAATTCAATTTCTTTTCAATTTCAACTCGTCTAGTGATGAACTGAGTCAAGATTTAATTTCATAAGCAAATATAACTTTTATCTTAACAACATAAAAAAAATCATAAAAATATCAGTCAAATGAATTAACAACTCTTTTGTAAATTTTGTATCTATTCATTTAATTTCACTATTTACATAAACTGTTTAATTTCTTGACCAGATCTATACATAACAACTTTTATATTACCCTTGATCAAACTAATTTACTCTAAAGAATTAAAATAAACTTTATTATTTTATGTACTTGTTTGACTATATAAAATTTTTTTCTGTTAAAACAAATATCTGCCTTATTTAAAAAAGGCTCTTGTTGAATTTTTTTGCATTTGAACTAGTAAAAATAGTTGAGGTCAGTTTAATTTGTATTTTTCACCCCATACAGATTATGCTCATAGCAGAACTACAACAAAAAGATTGAATATAATTTGAAATTGGTAAAATGTCAAGTCAAAAACAAATATACCAAAAAAATAGCACAATATGTAAATTTACTACATTAATTCACAGAAAAACTTTGGAGTTGATACAAAGTAAAACAAAAAAAAAGTTCATTACTTACTGATCATATGTACAGTTTGTGGCATTGTCTACAGTTGTGTCTATGTTATCAGCTATCAGCCACTGAAATTTGGAATCTTTACGAATAAATAAGTTCTGTTGACACTTCTTACGACAATAGTTGCAATCTACATTCATATCTCCCAAAATGATTACATTATCATGGCCAATTTCTCGTGTGATTTTTTGGTGTACATGAGCCAACTCATCAAGTTCCTTCTTCACATTTTTTTCTACGGTGTGAATACCAATTACAGTAACTTCTTTAACATCTGGAAAAAATTAATTAAATATTAAGTCTTGAAATATTCTGAAAATTTTCTATGAACTAAATTTTAACATTCTCTTGCTGATTAAAATTTGAAAATTATTTTTGGGATTAAAAAAGCCATTAAGAACTTCATAGAATTCCTTTTTTATTTCTTTAGAGTATATCTTTCTATTCCATAAATAGCTACTATGTTAATCAGAGAATAAAATAAAAGTTAATGATCTGAGTTAAGTGATTTTGTTTCTTAGTGTGTAAGTATTTAGATTTATTAAGTATTCTTTGATATTTCAAGCAAATTAACTTGAAAAAAAAGTTTTTTTTTTCTCTGTGGATCATTTATTAGAATACATCATTCACTAATACTTGAAAGATTTTTAATACATAAATATTAAGAAATATTTTCAGTATTGGTTTGTATTCAGAATTTGTGAACAATAGAAATTTCTTTTTCCTTCTTCAAACAGAATAATATTCTTTACTGCATGCCTGTCATATTAAGCAGACATTTTACTTAAAAATAAAGTTAATATTTTTTTCTCTTGTGATTACTTTTGTATTGAAAAATTAATCAGGTTCTAAAATTTTTTTATTCATAATCATTTCTTCTGGATTATATTAATCTAAGAATCATCAGATTTTAGGTTGATCTAATTATAAGGTCTCTTTCATTTTCTTTTCAAAATAAACAAAGCCTGTATATAATGAAATGAATAATAATTTTCAACAACTAATTTTTAACCTGAAGAGAGATTGTTATCAAGAAATGGAGTTCATCTTTTAAAGAACAACAGAAAAGACTTGAAAAGAATTTGGTGTTATCTTGTTGACCGATATAACTCTTAGAAAACTAATTTTTTTACAATTTTTGTTAGAGAATATAGGATTTCATATCACTTTTTAAATTTTTTTTAATCATTTCACCCCAAGCAAGGTGGGAATGCCACTAGTACACACGGGTGTTACAGAAAGTGAAAGTGGAAGAAAAAACTGGGTATGGGGGGGATTTTTTGTCCTAAAGGAAGATGGCAATTAACATCGCATTTAAATTTTTGAAGACTGTAGTTTTCAGGGAAGCAAGTAAACAGAAAAATGTTCCGCTGGTTGGAAGTGTGAGAAAAGAAACTGTTGGAGTAGCAGTTAGATTTAATCATTTCAACAGTAAAAGGTGGGACCTAAATGCCAATCTAGTAGCATGCTTAAATTCATGTAGTCGGGGCACCAGGGGAAAAAAGCTCGTCAAAGCAGTTTCTAAGAAAATATTTGTAAAAAAGACAGAGGGAAGCCACATCATGTCTGTGAGAAAGTGACTGGAGTCAAGTTGGCAAGTCAGGATCGATTACATTGCAAATCCTTCTTTGGAAGAACCTTGAGATGAATAGCAGAAGCATCAGATCAGATATGGCAATAGTATTCAATGCACAGCCGAATGGTAGATTTGTAAATGTGCAAGATGGACTCTGACGAGAAAAACCTGGCACTACACGGTGACCTAACTTACCTTGCAGTAGATGCAGCTATTGATTCAATGTAGTTGTTTCACTCAAGTCAGTTGAAAACATGAGGCTAAGAAGGCACATTTTGATGCTATCCAGCAATCAAGCATCAGCCATGCTGATGGCGAGCAGTGAAGTTTCTCTATGGTGGTTAAGTGAGAGCAGTTTTATTTTGGAGGCATTAAAATTTACAAGCCATTTCCTACCCCAGTTAACCACTGATTGGGGATCCTTTTCAAGAGCAGCAGCCAGGTTAACTTTGTCAGCTCTGTCAGATTTGCTATTGAGACAGGAGTAAATGGTAGTGTCATCAGCATAAATGCCTACTTGGGAATTGATGACATCAGGAAGATCATTGATGAAGATCAGAAACAGCGTGAGGACCCAGGATAGACATCAGGGGACACCCATTCATGTGAAAGGATCTGAAACAGCCTGTTCAGGACCCTTCATTTCACAATTTGATAGGAAATGATTGGATTAAATCAAACAATCATCCTGTAATACCATAGCCCTGAAACTTATGTAGAAGACCAGCATGCCAAACCCTGTCAAATGCCTTTGAGATATCTAGAGCCACAGCTTGAGCTTTTTACTGTTATTATCAAGAGCTTGATATACATATTCAGTGATGGCCGTAAGTACATCAGTGGTAGACCAAAAAACAGAATCCATATTGTTTGTCAGAGAAAGGTCATGAGAGGTAAGATGCTTAACCACTTCAGTATTGATTAAAGCCTCAAATATCTTGCCAAAAAGTGGACTATTATAATACTAATAGGGTGATAAAGGTTCTCAGATTTCTTTTTGCTGGAACTACAGAGTTCTTAAAAACATAAACCACAATAGAGTTTTGAGAAACAAAAGCCAGCTTGGAAGCATATTTCTTTAGGATGATAGCTGGGATCACATCACCTCCACTTGCCTTATGGTGTCCATAAGAAATGATGTGCAAGACCAGTGACAGGATTATTTCATATCACTCAGTATTTTCTCTCTGTTCTAAAGGTCAGAATTTAGATGTGGGTTCTCCAAATGAATTTTAATGTTTGAGTTGGAAGAAAATTTATGAGAAAGCATTGATCCTTATCTGCTGTAAATGTCAGGACTATTTATTTCATTGAACAAGGAAAACATTGGGGAAAATTTTTTTTTCCCCCCAATAATCTCTAAATAACTGAATTTGCAAGATGCTATATGTTGTTTCATTCTATCAGCAAATAGTAACTCTTTTCATTGAGGACATGCTTGCACTTGTTACAAACAGAAACAACAGAGATGTCTAGAAAATCAGACATGTTTCTATATTTTTTTTTTTTTTTTATATATTTCTATGTGCACTATTTTTTGAGCATTTGTGATAGAACCAAGGATTGAAAATAATTTAAATTTGTTTTTCCTGGTTGGAATGAAAAATTGATCCTGGTTTTTAATATTGGAAAGACTCAGACACATTTTTTGAAACATAATGATGTTAAAAAATAATTCATTTATTTCATAAATATAAATCATGGAACGAGCTACAATTCACTCATTGATAACAGAAATATATTCTGTTGGTTCTTGAAATTCTTGACTGGTTGGGGAGTAAAAAAAGATGTTTACAGACAAGACAAAGATTAGAGTTGCCAAGAGGGTCCATTTTGCATTTATTGCAAAAATTAAAATATTTGTAAAAGTTTCTAGAAGACCTTTTCAACTTTACTTTGATTGAACAGCATTGATGATTGAGAATTAAGGATTTGGATGCCAGTGAATTTTTAAATATACTGTTTAAGCCATCAGGCTTGATATATTTGAGGGAAAATTTTTGCCCTGATAACAAATTACCATTATTTTCAACAAATATTTTTTTCAAATGGGTGTATCCAGATTTTTCATTTGTCTATATTATTTATAAATACTATCTAGTATGCATGAGAATTAAAGTGAAACATTATATTGGTAGAGATAAGAAAAGATATGCTGAATGAGTTAAGTAGAGAGAAATGGTGACACATTTAAATAGTAATCTGGAGATTCAAGTGGAAGATATTCATGGATGTAAACTTTTTTTAATGCATGTTCCATTAAATCCTTCCTAAAATTTCTAAATAGCCAGGAATCACAAAATCAGAAGAATTGAAAAAAAAAGTTAAAATTAGTTTCAATATTTCAGATGGATGTCTGGATGTTGTTTCAAAGAAAACCAATTCCAACTGTCTCTAACTTGTGTGTTAAATAAATCTAATGTTGGAGAAAATTTAGTTTGCTGGGTTTTAGATGTTTTTTTTTAAAATTTGGTTTAAATTTATATCTTTGATTTTTATAGTATTCTAACAATATTTTGGTGCAAAAAGAATTTTGGGATTTAGTAGGATTCAGTTGTCTAATTTAATATTGCATTTGAAAAGAACTCAGTGTAGTGCAATTTTCATTAAATTTACCTTGGGGTTTTCCAACATAGGAAAAGTAGAGAGATCTGCAACATGGCAAAATAAAAAACTCTGATGTTATAAAAAATATCTGATCAGAGCAGCCTCTCAAATACTATGCTAATTTATTTTTAATAAGCAGAAAACTGCCAAAATTTTCCCTCAGTATGAAGATTTTTTTCCTTGCCAAATATTTATAGACATATCACAAATATTCATTATATTTATACCATTATTAAGGCCTGAGAAAAGGAAAAGAAACAGGAGGGGGGGGACTATGGACTGGATGAACTATTATATAAAGCAATACCATTATGAGAGCTAAATAATATTGATTCCATCAGTGATATGACTTTCTGCTAAAAGCTAATATTTCAATGAATAGATGCATGCATACTTATACAAAAAATAAAAATTATTAATCTTATATAATACAATACTAACCAATCAATGGTGAAGTGAAGGTTATTACAAAAGGTTCTCGTACAAATTTATTACCAACATCATCATATACAAAACTGGACTTTACAGAAATTTTGTCTGACCTGTAAAAATAAAGAAAAATATTATTTTGAATAAGATTTCTTTAAAAATAGAATACAGAAATAAAAAATATTTGAATTAATTTTAAAATTTTCTGTATTGTTTGCTGCATTTTTTGATTGAAGAGATTTAAATATTAAATTAAAGATTATTTCATACAAACTGCATTTGAACTTATAACCCTCTATATATAGAAGGCATAAATGATTTTCAAGTATTTATCAATATATATTTGGACACTTTGAGACCTAATAAACATCTTGTTGTCAATATATATGTCGCTTGTCTCTTGCTGGCTTCCAGATGTCATTTCTATTGTTCAGGGGAATGACTATTGTTTTCCTTGAAGATGAATTTAGGAATACTTCCATTCCGATGTCCCCCATTTTAACAGATAACCTTTTGGATTCTGTTAGAAACACCTGAGAAGAACTTCAAGCATGAGTACCTGTAAAGTATCATACAGAAAACCTAAGCATTGCCATATTAGTTCTTGAATTGTTTCTATGTCTGGGATATATTTCATTGATATACCATTTATGTGATATTTTTTTTTCCATTTATACAAAACATTTCATTGTATTAAGAGAAAAGCAGTCATTTTATTTGTAGATCTAATAAAACAAAATTATCTGCTCATTTATCAGGTTTTCAGTAAACTGATTAGCATGATTTTTCTTTTCATTCAATAAGTTATTTTGATGAGCAATCCCTAAGAATAATATAGTCATCTTACCTAAATAAATAAGCATATTGTTCCTTGTAAGTCCCAGTGCCAAGTGGTTTTGTCATTTCATAGTCAAACTTTTCCCTGTACAAGACAAAACAATTCAGTTAAAAAAAAGAAGCAATCATTCAAAATGGGAATCAAGGAGCAACAGTTAAAAATTTCTCAGTTTTAAAAACTAGTTCTGAGAAAATGTCCAACTAACCTTGTTGTGGGTTTGACATTTTGCATCATGGTATCCACTGTGTCATTGTTCATGTTTCTAAGTTCTTGAATAAAAATAAGATCATATCTACCAACAATCTACAAAGAGAATAAAGAAAAAGATTTAAATATGAATTTATTTTCAAATATACTAGAAAATGTTCTTTTTAACAAAATATATTTTAATTCATTAAATATTGTCTATGATTGTGAACCTAATTACAAAAACATTGAAATGAATTTATTTGGTTCATTAGAAATGTGTAAATGCAAATATTTTGCAATATTTTTAAAAAATTGTTTTTGATTGAATGACAAGTAAAATAAAGAGTTGTTCAGGCACATAATACTGATTTTAAATAACAAATATTAAGTTGAATAAAATGGTTCACTTATCTTACTTTGATTTGAGTAAGAGAAAACGGATTCATATTGCAAAGAAGTATTGATCATCCTTGATGGTTCGAGGTGCACAAGGGACACTGAATGTTCAAGGCCTGTATTGTATTTTGTACAATTTAATATAGTGTAAAAATATTTTGTCATTTTAATAAATGTTTGTTTCTTTATAATTTTTTTTTTTAATTTTATAAATTTCACTTTGAGTAAAAGTCGATTTTTATTTGTGCCTTTAAAAGTGTTAAGACATTTGAAACCTCCTTCCCTTTTATTTTCTTTCTTTTATTTATTTCAACATTTTATTAATTTTTCATACAATTCAATATTATCTGTTTTATTAAAAATAATTTTTATATTAATTTTTATGCAATTCCAACATTTATAATTTTTGTTCTCATACAATATTAATATTAATGTTACCGTTTTTATTAAAACTATAAATTATAAATGAGTTCAGCTAGTGATACAGAATGTGTTTTATAGGCTAAAAGGTGACTAGAAAACAGTATATGTATCACATGAAAATAAATATCAGTTTAACAAAACTGAGACAATATCTATAAAGTTGAAACTTTAGGATATAAAATGACCTTGTATATTTTAAACATATTTAGTATCAGTAAAATTGTGATACCATGTATCAGTCTTAATGTTTTTATTTAATAAAGCAAAGATTATATTTTAATAAATACCATTATAGGGACATTATTATTATAAATAAATAAAAATATAAAATAATAATGAAAATTATAAATAAAATAAAATAAATTAAATAAAATATTAAAATAATAAAAATAATCCCATTATGCAACAAAAACTGTTCCTATTTGAAATACAGATGCCAAAAGATGTTAAATTCAACCTCTTCACCACGAACCCTCAGACAGTCAACATGTGCCCAACTTCTCTCTGTAACATGGTGTATTATAATAATATGAAGTAACTTCTTCATCTCATTGTATGATATGAATGTACAATTTACTCTTACTGTTATCTCTGCATGTTTTATTTTCTGCAACATAAGTTTTTATTTCTGTGAACACTAGGCTATTTCTGCTGCTTTGGTATGAGTGACCCCACACCATTCATTTCAAATATGAGACTAAATAATGGGTCATGCTTTCTTAAAAATAGAAAATGATTCCACTGTGTAGAGTAGAAATTGAATAAATTAGATAATGGGGACTTCCACAGGCAGATATAAGTTAACTCATCCATTGATATATAGACAACTGATTATTTGTATTTGTATCTTGTTGGTACAAGAATAAAGTAATTGAGAATTACTACTACAGTTACTGTTGTGGTTATACTACATGGTGCTTTGAACAGGATCTGGTGAATACGTGGAACTATCTTAAGAAAATAAGACATAGCACCTCATCAGGCGGAATCCTTGATTTGATAAATACCATTAGAAGGACATTATTATCATAAATGCAACAAATGATAGAGCTACAAAAGGAAACTATCATGCTTCAGTGGGATGAAACCCCTAATGCAACGTAAATGTTCAACATAAAAAAAAACAGACACAATGCAACAGGCATTATTCATTGATGCTTGGACTCGTTATAAGGAGATGTGTAATCTTACCAGCCCAATTGAAATATGCAATGAATTGAGAACTATATGCTCACCTGAAGTAAACAGGTTTCTTTTTGACCTTATAGGGGCTGAAATCTTAAATTCGGATTCGGAGAAAAGCATGCATTGAGTAAAACAAGAGTTATCTCTCTTTAACTATCAATTGTTCCAAAGTTCACTGAAAGCAATAAGATTGTAATAGTTTCTGGTAATAAATGTTTTCAACAGTTTTGCTGTGTAAGAAAAAAAATTATGTGAATATAGGGAATATTCAGCATGTGAGTGGTGGTATGAGTGAGAAGATTGGCACATGGTTTCAACTGTCGTGGATTTCTGTGGCAGCTGAGATCTCACTGGTTTACTAAGAATTTTCTTTGCTTATATAGGTGATCATCGGCTCCGAAAGTGATGCACGGGAAGAATCACTCTTCACATGCAGACAATCTGATTGGTTGGCATTGACCAATCAGTGAGCGAGCTTTGGGGAGACTCACGAAAACTTCTGGGATCCGATTCTCCCAAAAGTGCACCAAATTGACTACATAAAAATATAGCGATTATAAAATTGTCGCATTACACAGTAGTGTTGATTTATTATCCAATGAATGCTTGTTGTTGTATAATTTGAATTTGCATAAGTATGTATGTATGTGTGTGTGTGATGATCATCATCATCACAAACGGAAATAAAGTAGAAACTTAAAAGATGGACATTCACAGAAAACGGGATTTTTGCTACTAAAAAATAAAATATGCTGAAATCTTAAATTTGGCTATGGAGGAAAGACTTTTGTCATACATCCAATTCATTGCAGTAAAGGGGCTTGCACAAGGAAGTTCACCAGCAGATGTTTCATTCCACACGTCGGGCATAAGGCAAGTCAATCACTCATTTTTAGTAAGGCTACGAGCTCAAGCCAAATTTTGTTCGTTCACAGTTGATTGTCCCAATACTGAAGGCTTCTGTCAGCAAGTCAAATACTCATGTGACATAATAGCCGGGCAGATGATTGTGGGACTTGCCAACAGGGAACACCCGAGTCAAGTTTTGGCCAAGGTTGCGAGACTCAAGCAAAAGTTCAACCGACTCGTCAGCTTGGAAACGACGGATAAGGCAGCTGCACAGTTACTAAATGATGTTATCCCGTCAACAGATATCTAGCCATGAGCGCCGTGCGCTTCAACAATCCCGAAGAACTAATATACCCACTTCTTTGCTGAATAATAATCCTGTTGTGGATTGCAGGAAAACAGTCCACCCAGATAGATTAATTAGTAAGAGAGATTACTAGTAGCTAAACTAGTATGTCATAATTGCATGATTAGGGGTCATGTAAAAAGAGTATACCAGAAATCTCAGACACTAGTCTGAAAATTCCTCACACCCGCACCATCCTCTCTGCTGGCAGATCAAAACGGAGTCGGAGTTTGATACCGCCTGGTGCTGTGCCTCATCTTGTGTGGAATGGAAAGCGTTGTGAAGGCAGTGTCCCAGATCCAAAGCCATCACTGAAGGGACTATAACCCACGCTTTAGTTGCACGCACCCACACTGGTCCAATTAGCCACGGTAGTCATCGCATCCTCACGTTCGCCAATACATGGGCTCAAAATTGTTCAAGTGGATAAGGTGTCCAGACGAGTACCTCATGCCAACTAGTCATTGAATACGTAGCATCAGATAACTAACTTCATATAAAAGGCGTGTTGTTCATGCATATAAGAATTTGCATCGAGGGAGACACGACAGATTATGTATGTGCCAAAGAACACGTCTGGTTCTTACTTATTAGAATCTGCGCTGAAGGACCTACATCTGTTGACACCTGATTTCCCAGCCCAGACATCACGGTGAAAGGTGCAAAGAAAAATGCCTTGTTCACATGTCCATGCAGAAAAACTATTCCAGCGATGCCTAGTACCATCCTGTTCCGTCAGAAACCAACAGGCACCTACAGGAAAGATGGATACGGGACCATTTCAAGTCCAGCGTATTTAATACCTGCCCACATCAACCCTTACAGACTATAACAGGAAAGTCATTGAACATTACTTATGTCCCTGATGCGATGCCATCAGCGGTTCACACAGCGATCCCTGTCCCTCACCACTGGAAGAAGAGAGTGAAACAAGAACTCGACCGAGAAGTCACATTGGGTATAATTGAACTGGTGCCAGTGAGCACTCCTACCACCTGGGGCTCAAGGATGGTAGTCACACCCAAAATGACAGTACCCTCAGATGCTCGGTAGACGTACAAGAACTGAACGAGGGAAACCCATGATACCCTGTCCCCATTTAATCAGGTCTCCATCGTTTCGGCTCACAAGAAAAACAGTTTTGGGTGCATGAAATGGGTACCACAGATTATCAACATGGTTCGAAAAACCCGTTGCATAGTCGATAGCCTCCTTTGGGACGTTTCTATAGAGTCCTCGTTCTAGCATACAATGGAATATGCAACCCACTGTGGGAAGAATGGGATTGTGTTTAACCTTGACAAATTCCATTTTGCAGAGAATGAGATAGTGTTTGCTGGGTTCTTACTGTGACACCAACAAAGAATATGACTTTCCGACACCCACAAATATCACGGGCGTCAGGTCCTAGTTTGGACTGGTGAATCAGATATCTTATGCATTCTCGTAAGCTGAGGTGGTGGCCTCCTTTCGGGAATTACTGTGCTCGAAGTACCGAAAATTTTATTGGGACGAAACACTTGACCAACTTTTTGAATAATCGAAGCGAGTAATCGTGCGGAAAAATTGAGGAAAGAGTCAAGACGTTCGAGATCAATAGAACAATACGCCTTTCAACAGATTACAGTAAAACAGAAATCAGTTACTTTCTTTTTCAAAAACACTGTAATTGCCTTGGCAAAGCAAACCCAAATAGCAGTGATAATCACTGGAAACTTATATTGTCCTTATGTCGCTTTACCAACGACGCAGAATCCTGCTAAGCACTGGTCAAAGGTGAAACCTTTCCTCTTGTCTATGGGGTAGAATCATGTCAAATGTTTATATTAGGATGCACAGATTTGCTAGTGACTGTTGACCATCAACCACTCATAAAAATTTTCTCAGATTGGGCCTTCGAGAACATAAAAATCCA